GTTTTTATATTTGTTCACTACTTTAAAAATCTTGGCATGATTTGTAACTTAATGCAAAAACTTAAAGTGAAAAAACTATTTTCACCACGTTTTGAAGATGGACTAAGTTATTCACAATGCTAACAAAAAATTTAATTCTTATACTACAATAACTGCGAAACAAACAAATTATGCAACAATCATCCGATAAAGTGCGAAATAATTATGTGATGCGACATTCCAACAAAAATGACCGGAAAAGTGCGAAATGTTTATATGATAAACTATGTGGCGTACAAGCTAATATATTCAAGCAAGTGCAAAAAAATTATGAGATACCCTACACGAGCAACATACAAAGATAATTCCAAAAAAAATGATAATCGAGCAAGTGATAAGTAATTATGAGATACCCTAGACAGGTGGAGATAATCAAACAAGTGCGCAATAATTATACAGTGAACAATGCGACATAGGCGATTATAATTGTTAAAGTGCGAAAGAAATAATAAAGTGTGAAATAATTATATAATAAAATACCAAAGAATTATGCAATAAAGTATGAGAGAAACATGCAAAGTTAATTGAGCAAGTGTGAATTACTTATGTGATTAAGTATGCGACAAAAATGCAAAGTTAAACTAGCAAGTGCGAATTAATTATAAGATAATCAATGCGACATACATGCGAATATAATTGAACAAGTGAGAAATATTGTACGATGAAGGGACAAAGATAATTGATAAACTGTGAATATTTATGCGATAAATTGTGTGACAAGAAGACAAAATTAATTGATAAAGTGCGAAACAATTATGCAATAAAGTTTGGATATATGTGAGTGGAACCATAAATTTTGGACTGCATATTTCAAAGCCAGTGATTTTTAACCTGGTTTGATTCTCCTATTCTGGTTGGGGTGTAGATGTGGATGATATATAAGCGGTCAACTACAAGGCTTTCCATGTTTTTAGGAGGAAATCTAATTTCATGGAGCTCAAGAAAACAAGCATCGGTCTCTAAGTACAACGCTGAAGCATAATACAAGAGTCTTTCACATGCTTGTGTTGAAGTTATGTGGATCAGCTCATTGCCAAAACAAATAAGGATCCGGACTTTACAAAGGCCAGTGATTTGGGTAGATAATCAGAGTGCAATTGCATTTTCCAGAAATCTGATTTTGCATGGTAAAACCGAACATGTGGAGCTACATTACCATTTTGTTAGAGAGAAGGTGGCAGCCAAACTTATTGATGTGAACCACATTCCAAGTTAAGAACAAAGTTGATGTCTTAACCAAACCACTCAGTATCTAACTCTTCACAAGGCTGCGTAGTAAACTCAAGGTTTCCCCTTATCCCTTGCTAGAATTTGGGGGCTGACGAAATGCATGATCATGTGAGTATTGACCAAGTCAAGATAACAAAAGAAGAACAAGAGTGACTTATGAGTATTGACCAAGTCAAGATGACAAAAGAAGAACAAGAGTGACTTAGTTTTGTATTTTTGTCCACCTTTGCATTCATGGGATGCATTTATTTTGAAATTTCTTGTCTTTTAGTTCTAGTTGTTAGGGCTTATTGTCACAGCATATATATATTGCACTCCTTGCTCAGATTGTATAACATAACATTTTTCCACATCTGAAATCCTTCATGTAGCCGCCATGTACGGCTTCATCTCTTGCATGTTCCAACGCAATAACATGAACTTCTTCATGTACCGTTCTTCTAAGAAAGATACATAGTCGTAAAATAGTGGTTGATCAATCGAACTAGTCAGAATCGGCAAAAAATTCATTTGATCAGACCGATTCATTTACGTTAAAATATAATTATTTCAATATATTTTCAGTAAAAATAAAATTGTCTACTTAATGCATTATTGGATATGTATAAATAGTTACATCATAGGATTTGTGTTGTGGGGGTAGA